AGCCGCGGGGGAGAGGGAGTGGGATGGGGGGAAACAGTGATCAAGGGGCGGAGGCAGGCGAGAAGGAGGTCGCGAAGGCAGGATCTCAGGTGGGCTTTCACTTCAAGGAGGTGGCATATTCATAATCGTATAAGGAAAAGGTTAAATACAGTAAACATGATAGCCAATTCTAGGGGAAAAAATAGAGGCGGTTAAAGCAGTTTTGACGGAAAGGCGAAACTAACTCAAGAACTCCACCAAGGGACAAACAGCTGCAATGACACCGTAACAGCACCGGGGGTGACCTTTCATCTTTCTTTTCTCCCGGATTTAGTGTAACCGGGTCCTGATCTCCCCACCTCGCAGCCCCACCGCTACTCTTCCCCCTCCAAAAGCTTCCTCCGTGTGCTGGCAGGGAAATGACAAAGAGCTGATGGCAAGAGGAGATGCCGTCCACTGCCTTTCACGGCCTGCAAATCCCATTTGCTTTACAGCACCATGTAACAGACTGCAGAGATTAAATTATTCATTGCAATAACAGCCTTTCTGATGGACATTAAAACTTAAGAGTTTAAATAAGGAAACCACAGATTTCCTTTTAAGCAGGTAATAACTGTTTGCATCCGTGGTTAGTTAATTGAGCACCAGCCAAACATAAAACTGGCTACCCTGTTTAAAGAAGGAAACTTTTCACCCTGGTGCTTTATATATGTATAGGAAAGACCTGATTTTTATTTAATACTGCTAGATAGAACAACAGTAGCCAGCTATTCAGCTACAGGAAATGGGGGGGGGGGGGGATAGTTAAGCTACACGTGTTTGATTAAAACTTTACATCCCTGGAACAAAATTTGAACTTGTCTAATTAAACGAAGTAATAAAAATGGTTCTTTCATTCAGATATTATTTTACTGCTCTTTCTGAGATCCAGAATTTCTGGTGAAAGCCATGCGATTTAGAATGCCATTTAAAGGAGAAAGGGGGGGAGGGGGGCAGGTACATAGTCTATTTGTGTTTACCAATTATTGAAAGATTACATTATCTTCTGTACAAATCACTGTGATTTAGTTTTAAGATCTTTTTGTTTCCTAAATGAAGACATTTTCTATGTAGCAGTATTATTTTTAAAGGCACTCTGCACAGAGACAGTGACATCTTCCCATTGGGTGACAAAGCAATTTAATGTAACTGGACTGCAAGGATTATAGGTGGCTTTTCTTTCCAGTTGCAAGGACATTAGTAAAAGTTCTTTTTAAAAGTATATGAATTTATACAGTGGGCTAGATTTAGCCCTCCCATACAACCAATTAAATTCATTGAAGTTTCAGAGATGTAAGTCAGGACTAAATGTGGCTTTTAATTTTTAATTAAATTATCTTTCCATTCAAAGTCCAAAATAAGCTTGAGGGAAAGGGCATACAGACTGAAATTAGACTAAAATAACAATAACAAATTAGACTGAAATAAAGTGCTTATGTCCATATCCACAAAATTACTTATGTGTGGTGGTGCTCAACCTCACTATGCCTAGTTTTAGGGGCCTAATTTTGGGGGTGGATTTCCAAAACTGCTCCCTGTACAGTGAATGGGATGAGGGAGGTGAGGAGGGGGTGAGAGAATTATAAGCATGTCCCACCTACAGCCCAGCAACTTGAACCCTGGTTTCTGACAGGTTTGAGAGCAGGGACTGGAGACCAGTCTGTAACAAGTCAACTTTGGCTCTGGAGTGCGTCAGAGGACTCCAGCTCAAGATCCACCTGTCTAGACAAGTCCTCAGATACCAAAGAATGAGTGTCGCAAAAGCAAGCACCCGTGAGCGACTTCCAAAGAGGGTGTTTGAAACCCTTGTCCTGGACTCATCCGTATGAGTTTGGTATTCGAAATCTATATCTTCCTTCTGGACTTAGGTTCCTAAGGCATCCCTTTAGGTTAAGAGAAGTGCCTAACTTTATTCTGTTACCATGTAGCTGGAGAAGATAGGGATGGTACTACTTACCCTTTATACAGCAGCCCAATAGTTTCACTTGCTTGTTGAGGAAATGCCTTAGTCATCAACTCTGGGGTGTAGCACTTTCCACTCGAATGTCAAACTGTGTCATTGTTCAGCAAAGAATCCATAGTACTGGAAAGTAAGCAAGGCAGAGGCTATGGACAAA